GATAGATAGATAGATAGATAGATAGATAGATAGATAGATAGATAGATAGATAGATGGATGGATGGATGGATGGATGGATGGATGGGTGGATGGATGGATGGATAGGTGAATGGATGGATGGGTGAATGGGTGGATAGATGGATGGAGGGGTGGACGGATGGATGGATGGATGGATGGATGGATGGAGTTATATAAAAATATGGCTACTGACCTTGTATAAAAAAAAGGGAAAAAAAGGATGGGGTTTTTCTTTTTTTTTTAGGAGGGTCGGGCTTGGGGTCATTCGATCGAAAGAATATACTTTCTTGTTTTAGTTAAAATGTACGTTGCCACATAAACTGAGGTCTGCATTCTTATGCTTTTAGCAAAAGTATGAAGGGATGTTTGTGAGAGATTGAGCGAGTAGATGAGTGGGTGATTGAGCGAGCAAGTTAGTGTGAAAGTGAGCATAAATAACAACGTGTGTGAGTGCGTGTCTTGGTGTGTGTGTGTGTGTGTGTGTGTGTGTGTGTGTGTGTGTGTGTGTGTGTGTGTGTGTGTGTGTGTGCTTGAGTGAGTGCGTGGGTGAGTAGGTGTGCATCGTATGTGTGGGGTGGGTGTACACGCTCGTGTAAGTTTAAACCAAGATAGATAGCACAGATCTTGGTAAGTCCCCGACACCACCTAAAACCTTGTACTCACGTGTACCTGACCAGTTTTTTAAAGCAAAGTGTGCCCCCATTACAGACAGACCTTTAGAGCGGAAGTCTCTTTGTTTCGAAGTGGCAGACATACTATACATTTCAAGGATCAGTTTGCCAACTCACTGGAAAACAGGAAACTGTAAAAGATATTCAACCAAATGAGACATGGCAACTGTTTTGATTAACTTCGTCATACTACTGGATACCGGATATCACAAATAAGATTTTGTTTGTTTTGTTTTTGAAGGGTATTTGTTAGCCTTTCGCAATCCAGCAAACATTGTGAAAACAACTGTTTGTTGTTTTTTTGTTTTGTTTTTAAAATTATTTTAACGCATTCTAAAATTGATTTAGGATTAAATTTTCTTTTGGGAAAAGTTTATAATGTAGGAACATATTCACCAGGGCTGGGCGAATGACGTCTTTCATCTCGGAAATTTTGAAAGGGGATTAGTGAAACCTTATCTACCAGAGTTTTTCAAATCTGTGGATGAAATTGCAAGCTAAATGTGGGTTCACTCCTGTGCGATTTTGCAGGATTGTTTTGAAATGGTGACGGTTATTACTGCCAGATATCCATTGGAAACTTTAAAGTTCATTTGTTTGTTTTGTTTTTGTAAAGTGTTTTAGGGCGCTCGCAACTGCATAAGGTCATATGAGTGCGCGGGACACACCTAATATTTTAAGTTGGTAGGAAATTTTGAATTTTGCCCGGATGGTGGCCGAAGCCTACTCATATCGATTTTAGACCACCAAGGGATCTTTAACGTGCGCAACTTGCACACGGGCCCTCCGAGAT